TCGTGTGAAATATTGGATTGGAGAACGTAACGCGCATATATCGCCATCTCTTTTGGAACTTTTAGGTACTGCTTTTCTCGAAGTATATGTATTCATTTTCCATTTTACTCATTTTATTCACTGTTTACCACAGTCAACTCATGCCTTTTTTGGCAGTTATTTTCATTTTTCAATGTTTGAATTTTTTTTTGATTTCTATGTTTGAAAATTTCAGGACTTTGGGGGGTACTGCCAATACATCCGAAGACTTTCATTCGTGCGCGATATCATCTTGAAGAACTGGAAAAAACTAAATTAAAAACTCATTCTATAACATCTCAGTCAGATCTGTCAGAAGTGGAATCGAAAGAAGAAATTGGAAAAGAAGAAACTCATCTTTAGAATTGATAGAGATTCCGGTGAATTTGAAAAAAAAACAAGTTTCAAAACGAAGGACGAAATAAAAGATTTACTTTTAAAAGTGTAACGGTAGGCGATCAAAATCGAAACAATAAACTGTGGCAAATCTGGAGACAGTATGTTAGACATTAACAGTAAAAAAAAGAGAACTTACTTCCGTATTAGGTATTTTTTGGCAGCGCGGTTCTACATATACAGCATGTTTTTTGTCGATTATGTCTCTGCACAATGTCGGGAAGAGGTAAAGATATTGTCTCGCAGTTCACATGAATCCAGAGTTGTCCGGAATCTCTATATATTCGAGAATGATACACAAAAATGCGATGCAGAAGAGTCTGTGTTGATACCACTCCGAGCTCCTTTTTGTGATTCTCATGATTTGAATGTAACTTTTTCATCCATTGCTGTGTTACCAAATGGAACCAACATGTAAGTTTAGAATTTTTGTTGCTTAGGTGTCAAAGTATCTGCTTAAATTACTTTTCTAAAGTACCGAACTGTTAGTGAGCGTGCTTATATAGGACAAACTTTTGACTAATTTCTGGTTACTTTTCTTATCTAATTCAAATACTGTATTAACTTAATTAATTCATGAGTTTTCTATAGAGAAATGAAACTGTCAAATTGCTTATAATCTGTTTGAGGACTTTTTGAAATTTGTGTCTTGCATTATATATTTTAGGAACTCTATTGTTCCTCTTCACTCAAAATTTTATAGGTTACCTTACGTTTTACTTAACGTTTCTATTTGGGTTAATAATCCAATCTCCTCTGTTTTTCTCCGACTGGAATGTTTAGAAGCTCCAAATTTGGAGGACGATTATTGTCATAATCACGAGGTTTGTTTATGTTCCAAATAACTTTCGTTGGAAAATATTTCACATTCATAATTTGCGCTGTTTTTTGCCTTTAACACATATGTAATCGATGATCTGTTTTTAGTCCTTGTTTTTCGAAATAGACTCAAGTCTCATTAAAGTCAGTCATGGAATTTTCTTCGACGAGCACTTATTATCCTCTTAATTCAAGTTATAAAATTTTTTCTGAAAATTTTTCTTAAATTCTCTTACGTTGAAATTTCTGTCATAGAGAGTTGATAACTTTTCAGGAGCAATATCGAAGGTGGGGACGTATGATATGGCCATGTCGCTTTCTCACTCTTTCTGAACCGGATCTTGTTAGCTACCCATATTTTCTTAGTTATCATTGTTTTCGACTTTCTTCTTATTCTCATTATCGTTTGAATGTGTCATGTGCTCCAAATGCATGCAGGTACGTTATGTGCTTTAATAAATAAATAAAGTAGTCGTTGATTTAGTGAATTAGTACTGGGCGTTATCCATTTGATCTACTGAATAGTAAAGATTAGAAAATTATGCATGATAAATCTTCTTTCTAAATCAAAAATTCTACATTCATTATAGTGGAAAAAAATGGCTGAAATTTGTTTTATTCGAATCACTATATTTATAGGAAATCGTTTATTGTCACGATACCAGAAGAAACTCAAGTGAATCCTGCTATAAATCACTTTTATGGTAAAGATGCTGCAACTGGTGATAATTATTGGTCACCACTTGCATTCGTAGATTTAACTTTGCGAGACGTAAGTTTGTGTTGATAAACAGATGATTGTAGTGATTTTTTATGCAATCTATTTAAATCTGCTTGATTAAATTTTCGAAAAGTGTGTTACTGCTTTTGAAATAAGATGCTTAAACTGTTGTAGTTAACTGGTGTATTTGTTTCGGTTTTCAACTGAAACAGATTTATTACAGTAACCTAGATTTATTACAGTAACCGTCTTTATCATCCAATTTCTTCCAGTTTAACTTGCAGTTTTTTTATTCTAAAAGAATATTTTTGAGAGAGTGCTAATTCGTTATGAGAAACAATCATCTTTGGTATCTACTGGAATTTCTATTGCTGTTTTTGAAACGATCGCTTCCACTTCTATACATCTCTTTACAAATACATTGGATGCTACCGCTGTTGAATATGAGTGGAAGAATGTCCCGGCCGGCAATTTTACTGCGTATTTATATGTCAGCCAATTAAGCTGCGATCTAATATGTAGCAATGATACTACGGATAAGTGTATTTTATGTCCAAGTACAAGAATTCATTTCACGGTTGAGGAAGATAAAATCTGGTTGTCGGTATCAGTATATGGTTTATTACCTCATGGAATTTACATCATAGGTTAACTTTTGCTTTTTGAAGTTGTATTGATTTTCAGGTCAGTGCTGTCTGAACTACTAGGGGAATAATGCGTTTAGAATGTTAACCTTATATTGCATTTCAACATGACATTCTACACCTTCTAGATTATTGGAGAATTTCTTCTGCATTTTAAGTAATTTACTTTTTTTCCGAAAATATAATTAGTTTCTCGATGGCGTTTCTTTTGCTTCATCCTTTTTCATTAAATCATCATTTTATTAAAAGTATTGTTTTATCAACAGATAAATAAAAATAATTGAATCTTTCAAATTGTGTACTTCATTGAAGAAACTTATATTCAGTCACATCTGGTATATTTGCGATAACACATATGGAAATGCATTGCACTGAATGCTACACAGTTCTTTGGATATTACGTGACTATCACTTTTTCATTCTTTCATTGTTCAAGAGTTGGTCGTTTTTTGATAAAATATTTAATTATATTTCAGGTGCTGCAGTGGTGTGTTTTGCCTTTGCTACAGTTTTTTTGGTTCTTTTTTTGGCGGCCAGGCGCTTTCACAAAGTACCATTGCGAGAAGTATCACTTTCGCAGCGAACAACCGTTTTTATCGTTTACACAGACGATTCCAAACCTCATTCTGATTGCATCGCTATACTTGCAAAAATATTGCAGCACGATGCAAATGTGGATGTGTTCTTAGACCAATTTGAATTAAAGTGCTCAGGTGCGTACATTTTTTTAATGCTATAAATTTATAGAAATATTGCATCAGCATGAAGGTTAATGATAAGCAGTCTCTTATTTATTTTTTTGAATCGGTTATGTGAATCTGAATGACTAGGAATTTTCATTAATCAGTGCTTGAGTGTTTGTTATTCTATAACTATAAAATTTTCTTATTCTCTAATTTTTCCCTTTTTTATATGACATTCTAATTTATTTTCAGAGATATTGTCCCTGAATAAAATTCACTTCAATTTGTTTTTTGTATTCATTATTTCAATCTTTATTTGAAATTCACCGAATTTCAGAAACAGTTCCGTTAAGATGGTTTATTAACAAATTTGCAACAGCCAATCATGTATTGCTTATTTTTTCTGAGGGAGCAAATGCCGTTCTTCGCGGAGAAAGTCTTATTCAGCGGCAACCATTTCCTGAATTCTTTTCTGTTGCACTTAATATGTTACTAACGGTTGGTCCAAAATCACATATAATGTATAATAATGTATAATACTGTATAATATATATATACTGTATAATGTATAATGTATAATACACCAATGAGTCCAGACATTCTGATACATAGCATTTACAATAAAATCGTGAATGGTAATAAACTTGATATCAAAGTTAAGTGAAAAATTGAAGAAACTGAATAAAAAGTAAGGTAATGAAAAGTTTAAAGAAACTTTCTTTTTTATTACATAGTTTTCAGGAATCTTCTTTCTTGAAAAATTTTAGGAACACAGTAAAGATGTAACTACACAATCTGAAAAGTTGCTATCAAAAGTGAGCCTACGCTTTGCATTTGCCTATATGACCTATTCTCCACCTTCGATGATCCCAGAAGAGCTTGCTTCTTTACCAATCAGTATATTCAAATTGCCTGAGCAGGCATGTTTATTTTTCATGATATGTTTTTTATTGTAATCTCCTTTTAGTTTATTTTTCTCATTCATCTAGTGTTAAATAAATTTAGATTCAGAATCTCATCTCATGGTTGCATAATCAACCATCTGATATCTGTGTAGATGTGTGTGTTGACATTTCACATTTGAATAATGCCGTAAATGAAGTTGTGGCATACCGACGTAAGAATTCAGCTTGGTTAGTAGAAAGGTTACAAACGAACTGCAAGGTGAATTAATGTCAAATTCTCAAATTCTTACTGTATTTGACGGATTGAAAATAAAATATTATGTTACTTCAGTATTTTTGAACATATTTTTAGATTTCACTTTAAATATAAATATGGATTATTGATATCGATCAAAATCTGAGTACTGTTTTGCTTTTCTTATTTTAGCGGCTTTCACATGATATTTTGTAGCAAGATATTTTTTCAGAACTCCGCACCTCTTTTAGCATTACAAAATGTTCCTTTCCAATCAAGTCGTTCGATGTTGACACCCGAAGAACAAATTCACATTGCGGAGACGTTGAATTTGGAACCACCTGACATCCATACTTCGATGGTCAGCTCTTTTCATATGTAATTATTTTGCTTTTTAGTTATACATCGACATTTGCTCTTTGACTGTTTCTGATAAAATTTATAAGAATATAAACTTCTGTATTTAGGACGAAATTTTTTCTAAAGATGCTGTGTTCGCTTTGATAGGATCACCTGATGATAGCAGCTTCGATACTGATGATTCTATTTCCAACAAGATTCATCTACAACAATTCTTGACAGCGAAATAAAATTAGAATCAGTTTCTATGAAGGCCATAATTTGTGTGATACACGTATGACTCTTAATAATTTCTTTTTTGTTGACAATTCATATCGTTTGAAATTTAGCCTCTTGTTTGAATGAATTATGTAGTTCTATTTATTTTTCTACGTTGCTTTTTTTACGTCTTAATTCATATGCTTGATATTCTTGTTACTTGAACAGTGCCATTTAATGCTTTGCTATTATTCTACTGTTTGAATTGTTTATTGCTCAGGAATAGTCTCTAATAAATATATATTTAAATCAATTCGTATTACCTCTGCATCTTATGGTTTCAGTTTCAAACTTAAGGTTACTTCAAAAATGGTATGTTGTTTAATGGATATTTGTGATCAAATTAATTTCCAGATGAATAATGTCGCAAAACGAAAAGCGACTGCAAAACGGGTGGAGAGGAAACATGCTTGCCCAAGCTGCGATGCAAGATTTTCTTTTCCAAATAAATTACGCCTGCATATCAAATCAAATCATTCTTGTAAGTTTGTTATGAAGTTTCTAACGTACAAAGCTTAGCTTTAGGCACTGTAGAATTTAGCAGGATATTTGTTAAGTGAGCTAGTGTTATGCATTTCTGTATTTAAAGAGCAATATGATGCTTTTCAGTAGCAAATGCTTGCGAACTGTGTCCGGAACGTTTTAATCGTTTCAATGAACTACGCACGCATATGCGTCGTGCTCACCAAATTATACATCAGTGCCACTTATGTGCATATTCATCGAGTGTCAAAGCGGAATTGAGGAGGCATGTTGTCAAATGTCATGAAAACGGTGTTCGCTGCACAGTTGATGGATGTGATGCAACGGTAGCTTATAATAGGTTTGTCAAAATTATATTTGATTATTTGAGTATAAATTTCTTGTCATTTCTGTAAATCATTTTTCCCTCAACTAAAATGTGCACTAGAAATTTGATTCATTGATTCTCCTACATTTATTTTTTTCATCACTTCAAGCGTTTTTAAATATCGCTGTTGATCGAGCTGTAATTTAAACGTCGAATTACTGCATAAATTTGTGCAGTTCCTTGATGTATACGATTTGAATTCGTAAATTTCTTTTTCAGATTGAGACGGCACATCAAGGAAGCTCATTGCAGTAGCTTTCAGAATAGTCTGATTGTAGATCATCAGATGTTGGGAAAGTCATCAAAATCTGAAAATAACCTTTCTGAAGATCTTACAGAAGTAAAATTTTCTTCAACAACAGAGGGGCCAGCTATTACGAATGTTTTTTCTCCGATCGTCAGTGTCCATCATAACTTTCCGCGTAAGTTGTAGCTAAATTAATGCAAACTTTTTTTTATAAATAGTCGGTTAGTGGATTAATTAAAGAGTCAGTTTTAAAGAAGCAATTTTTTATAATTTTTAAAACTCAATGAAATAAAATACAGAAGACTTGCTGTGAGTTCGATCTAAGTTTTGTTTTGCTATATCCCAGAGCAGTATTTCTTTCTGTGTTTCTTGAGATAAGGGTGACAATCTCTTTCTCAAACTGGAGAAAAGTAAAGATTTTGTAGATTGTTTTTTCTTCAAATCTTCCCCTTAAATTTTTAAAATAAATGAAATATTTTGACAGTAATTGTGCTTCTCTAAAATCTGATTTGAAATTTTATATATATATATATATATATCAGCAGCTTGCGTTAGTATTTTAAATCAGAATTTGAAGATTGCTTTTGTAGTATTACATTGTTTCATTTACATTAAAGTTTTTTAATGTGTTCATTTATTGAAGCGGTGGACAATATGGAGAAATTTACTAGCAATGATGCTCCATTAAAAATACCACCACAGAATGTAGAGACGTCTACTCGTCTGTCTTTGGCAGTACAACATGATGGAACGATAGTTGAAAGTGACTGCAGTGATTACTGTGGTGAGACTGAATCTGGAAAGGCAATTAAAATACAGGGAACTGATTCCGAAAATATCTGTCAGGAAGAATTTTTAGGAGTGTCGGCTGAACCAGATAGTTTTGAAACGAAGGACCAAATAATATCGAGAAAAATATCACTCGGTTGTACGGAAACAGGTGTTTTTTCGCTATAAGAAATATTACTATATTTTAATACTATATTGCCGAAATATTCGATATTTAGATTTCCACTCAACAGAAAATTTATGAATTTTAGTGTCAGGTTTTTTTCAATATCAAAATGGTTAGACACTTTGAAGTGAACAGAAATGAAAGGAATATTGGAATCCTTTTCCATTTCTAAACAGATAGCTAACTTTGAAAACTAAATGATTTCAGATAAATAATGGTTTTAGAGCTTAATTTTTTTCTTGAAGGTGGATATGAATGCCAAAAATGTGGGAAGGTTTTTAATGATGTTTATAATTCTCGGCGACATTGGAATCGCGTGCATCTTAAAAAGTACGAAAAAAGAGTCAGGCTAAAAAAATATGCTTGCAAAATTTCGGAATGTACGCAACGTTTCTCATGCCCTTCGAAACTTCAAGATCACATGTTGACTGTGCATAACGGTAAACTTTTATCATTTATTGCTGGAATTTGTTTGTTAAAAGAGTTTGTCATTTTAGCTCATAAAGAGCATATTAGTTGTTTTGTCTCTGGTTATGTAAATTGTTATTGTTTTAGGAAGAATAATGTCGTTTAAGCTTCAGATTTCCAGATCATTAATAAATTTTCTTTCCATATCCATCAAAATAAATTATTCAATTCAGGAATCTTATAATGTTGGAACTCTTGCAATTCGTAATGAACTTAAATATAATTCATTTAAAAAAATTGAAAAAAAAATTGAAAAATAAAGTTTTTTTTAATTCATTTAATTTCTTGTAAAAAAATTGAAAAAAAAGATTTCTCTTTCAAATGAAAAAGGACTGAAATTTATGTACTTCTATAGAGAAATATATACTTCAAACGCTCTGTACTTAACAATCTTACAATGACGTTATGAAATAAGAGATTTTTAAATCTACATTTTGACAAAATATTTTGTTGTAGAGGATGCTCCATTCGACTGTGGAACATGCAACAGGAAATTCAGTAGCCGTGCATCATTTGCTATTCATTTGAGGCGCTACCATTTGGTGAGTATTCGAAATGTGCCATATGGATTTATGGATGGAATTAGTGTCAGTTCCGTTAGTATCTCGGATGAAATTCATGTTACTGCTAAGGATAATGTCGCTGACATTGGTGTTGATGCTATTGATAATATATTGATAAAAGAGTAATTAGGAGTTATGTAATTTTCTGTGATATGGAGAGAGCTTTTTTGCGTGCTCTCAAGTTTATGGTATAAAGGGAGCGCTTTATGCAAAACTTTTTGTCTTATTATTTATCTGTCACTTAGCAATGATTTTAAAACTTTGTGTAGGAGTCATTGTTATTTGAGGTTTTACGCGGCCAAATATGATTTAGCTCTTATTTTCTTGCGAGTAAGTGGATCTTATTTTCTTACAAGTAGATTTTTGTTGTCGTTTTAAGGTTCATATTTTATGGCTTTACTAAGGTTTCATTATTTCAAGTGAATAAAAACTATATTATTTTGTCGATAAAGTTTTAAAGCTCTTTGTTTCAGTTTTAGCAATTCTCTTGGTCTGACGAGTTTTAGCAATATCCTTGGTTTGTTTCACTTAAATTAAGTGCTTTTACTGATGGTGGTGGTTGTTTTTGTTATGATATCGAAGTTATGTTATATTGTCTCATATGTTGTTATTACCAAGAGAACCTTAATAAATGTTAATCTTCGCACAAATTTTCATTATAATGATATGTTGGATTCAGCTTACCTGTTTATGTTAAAACTCATATTTTTGGCTGGGCAAACATTACACTATTGAAACTCGTATTCAGTAATTTAATGTTTATCCAGCCGTTCGCCTGACTGATCTTGTATACTCTGTACTTCATTCCCTTATGTCATTATTTTTTTGAGTATCCGAAGTTTATTCTTAGCTGAACTCAAAATTGCAAAGTTTGTGAATCTAGAGTTTGGCCTAGTTCTGTATTCATATAATCAAAATTTATTCATTGTATACCATTGATTTGTCAGATTGTTTGAGTGAACTGCTGCTCTGATCAGCAGTTGAAATCATTTTCCCCACTGACCACGGAAAAATGAGGTGAACTGTAACCGATTTTCGACAAAAACAAAAATGCTACGGAGACTGGGATGAGATGAAAAGTTGCGTGCGGAATTGATGTTATTTGTCCTTTGAGAAGGAAATTTGCTGCATATTCCTTACAAGGATTTCAAATGACTACTGGACAGATGATCTTTTTGAATCACATTTTAGTAGGTGAGTAAGGATGAATTATTCCCCATTTATTAATCTAAACTTTTTGAACTTTTCATATAATCAAATTGATCATTTTCCCATTCCCACCGGTCATAAAAGCACAAGTTTTCAAGTCAGATGGTCAGAACGATCAAATTTCTTAAACAAATCCCTTTTGAAACATAACAAATGCACATCTCAAGTTAAAATGAAAGGATATTGTGGACTTTTCCTCGAGGAATTATTAGTCATTATTAAATATTAATGAATTACATGTAACAAAAATAGGCTTGAAATAGCATTCATCAAGAATTCAAAAAACCGAAAAAATCACAGGTTATTTGATGTCTTCAAACCTTCTTCGAATTTGAAATTTCTTATGTCTTCGTCCAGTAAGATACTCTTAAGACGTCCTGGAGAGCCCTGTAGGAGAAAAAGTAATAATTTTAAAAGTAAAGTAGTAGTCAAAAATTAAATGAACAATCTAAAAGACGTAAGCACATCACGCACTAAGTAAATTTCTTTGAAACAATATTACGTACATCGGAAAAGATTAAAAATGCACTGTCCTGTATGGAAGCACTTCTCATTTGAATGACTTCCCTGATCCAGAATTGTCCTTTTTGGCCTAATTGCATTTCCATAATTCTACAGTGCATATAGTCAAAACACGGTTTGTAATCGAGTTTGCAATTCGGCTATCATTAAATCATGTTTAATTACTAGAAATCTACTAGCTATAAAAAAACTTTAAGAATGAATGGAAATTAAAAAACACACCTCATGAGGAAATTGTTCCTCATAATTCAACTGTCTTTTCAAGAAGTCGCAAAAGTGTTGCTTAGACTGATTATCAAATTCCATAAAGTTCAACTTGAATTCATCACTTTTGAGATCATTGTTGTCTACTTCCTTATCCACAATATTATTCATAAGATAATCAAGAAAATAAGAACATCCTACGCTATCTGGTGTTAGCTGTAGCGTCGTTCGAAATAAAATGGGTAGAATATTATACTGCTTTACATCTGTAAAAATAAATGGTGATGAATATTTTTCTAATTTAATTTTTGATTATTTGGTTTTTTCTTTACAATATAATATTCCTCAAACTGATGAAATATTAAGCTTAGGACCAAAAACTGCCTAGAAATTCTCGAAATTTAATGAATAATGACTAAACAGTTAAGAATCTAATAAGCGTACTGAAGAGGTGTGGACTTACACTAAACATTTATACGGATCATAAAAGAAAATAAGTCAAGACATTACTGCGTAATGAAGCTAGAAAAGCCACTGAATGAAAAAGCTAATGTAAAAAAATTTCATAAAAATAGAATAAAGCTTAATTGAATAACAATATTCGAATGAAAGAGCAGTTCTTAAATACGTAAAAGAAGAAGTGGTGAAACTTGAGATATATGAGATAAAGAAATAATTGGCGCAACTAAAACAAACTCAAATATACCAGATCCAAGACTGATTGCTATACTTGTTGTAATGAGAACTACTTTGTTGGCCAGCTTAAAACGATGCATATCTATTGCTTTCTGGAATACATTCTCGATTTTTTCTAGACCTCTCAATTGGTAGAACTGACTGAAAATGATTAAAAATTTTCAAATGAACCCGAATTTCTCTCAGTAATAAAAAATTCAGACTCTAATCAGCTCTTCAATTAAATTTTTATTTATCGCATAAAAGTGAAATTATCTAATATAGAATTAATACCAAACATTTAAACACCTATCGAATTGTTGACAGTAATAAAAAAAATTCAGACTACCTGAATGTCTCTGTATGTCCTCGAACAAGTGAAGATAAGCTGCTCAAAGTCTTTACCAGTAATTCCTGCAAACGAGCAGGAAGAGTTGAGATGCTATCGAAGTAAAACAATTTGGATTATTTGAACTAGTCATTCTCAACAAGTGAAAATTATTACAGCACTAATTTTGATGAAATTTAAAGCCTTGAAGATTAAAACTACTTTCTTTTAAAAATAGGAAACTGCAAACTGATTGACGGAAGAATGAAATAACTCAAATGACCTCAGATGCATTGATTTCTTCCAGAACATTTAGCAAATAAGGTAGTAAATCGGTCTCCAAAACGATATTTTGAACATATGGATTATTTTGTGCTAACAGTGGTATTAATCGAGCTATCTCACATCGAACTGAATCATAATCACTTTTCTGAAAGTAGTTATAACAAAATATGTCGGATTTAACCACGATCTTAAGGCGAAAATCCGGATTAAATCTGGTTATGAATATTAAGGTTCAAAAACTCACTAAAAGCCTAATCACTTCAACTAGACCACCCAACTTGCAGAAGTCAGCAGCACAGTCGATATCACAAACCAGTTCTTCCAAATTATCTACAATTTGAGTAACGCTATCGACGTCATTAGTTTTAGTGATAAGTTTTAGTTGTTCAATATTTTTTTTCATATGCCTCACGGGATCTGAACAGCTCATCGCTTCAGCCATCGCGTTCTCGACAAATTTTTGATCCTGAAATCTTCCATAACAAAAACATGCACCAATCAATTACGCAAAAATTAGATAGTTACACCGCAACATATTTAATTTAGATATGAATTAAAACAGAAAACATGAGAAAATTATTTTACTTGCTTAGACATGAGTTGATTTGCTCTGCCACCACTTCCATCATTTGCTGACTGTGCTAAACAGAGTAATTTGGACCAGCACTGAGGTGATGTAATGTTTTGTTCACTCATCCTTCAATTGATACCAGTAAATATTGACACCTATTAAAATAAAGTAATAATTAAAACCACTCGAAGCAAGCGAAAAAAGTACGGCAACTGTTTGCCTCGGGAAGCTGATTTCGTGCTTATCAACTGATAACTCAAAGTGTGATTCAATATGCTGATAACTAAATCGCTAACACCCGATACTCAACTTACCCTGACCACAAGCCAACACAGAACTCCGTGTTCAGAGATAAACACGAGACTGCAATTTTCATAGAGACACAGAAGATGTATCACGATAAATATTTGGTAACAAACTGTATCCAAACCCGCTGCAGAAATTTTGTATGTTATCCTATTTTCCCTCCATTCAAGAACTCATTCATGGCTTGCATAATCTTTGTTCTCTCTTCGGTTTTACAATGTTTTTCATTTTTCGCTTTCTATTCTCTTCTTTAACATTAATATATTGCAGTCACTTTTTTTAAATGCACTGTTTGAGGGGTTCTCTCGAACTTGGAGGAGATGGTGTGGTTATGCTTACTTGAGTTAGATTTATTCGAATTTTTATTTGAGTACTCTCTAATTTCTTCTCATGAATTTATGAGAATTTTTTATGAATATCAAACTTTTTCGATTAGCTTTGATTTAACTTTTTTGTGTGCTTGAGGAAAGCTCTGAAACTTGATATTATATGTGAATGTTTGTTATAATTGTTGGGATTGTTTTAGGAAAACGGGTTACTATGAAACCGGATATTAAGGATCGTGATTATATGTACCGACTTATTATCGGGTACGTTGCTGTTAATATTTGCTTTACTCTATTGTTTGCCATTTCATCAAAAGAATTGGATATTCTAAGTGTATTAAGATATATCCTCGTGTTCCGGTTTCATTCCCTAAAAAGAAAGTTGTAAATGTGTTTTGAAACCTGCCATGTCTTGTCTCCTTTTTAATTTCATCCATATGCTCTTACGATTTCATATTTAAATTTTTTAATTTGACAGTGCACTGTCTACGAAAATTTTGAATATATAATAGTGAGTGTTATGTAATAGTAACAACGTGATAAATATTCATACTTAATGATGGTACTGTCGGTGGTCTTCGTTTTTTTACATTCACAAATTCTTATCTTAGTGTTTTTCATTTTTTGCTAAACTAATGAAGTCATCCTCTCCTTTTTCTTTACAGACAGCTTTTCTATGATGGTCATCAACAGTTGGCATTGAATTTAGCATCTGCAATTGGTTGCTCAGCACAACCACCTCCACCATCTGATAAACTTTTTCGATTGGTCTCCATGGCGAAACAGTTCGTTGATGAACCTGATCCAAAGGAGAAAGACGGTATTATACAAGTAAGTCCAATAGACATCCAATAAATTGTCTGCCACTGTTCAATATCATATACCCAATCGTCCAGTGACAGTGATTGGTTTTAGATGGATATATCCTCAGGTCTTGATTTGGAATATGACGCGGACATTGAGCCGACATCACCGGAACCGAGCATGTATGAAACAATTTATCTTACAGCTCATAAATCACCATGTCGTGCATCGGCATTTAATTCTGATGGTACGTGAAATTTCCGGGTTATTAATCTCATTCTTTTCTTTTCATTTGTTTTTTGGTTTTCACTCTTAGGAGTAATGTGTTTACACTTTCAAAGCATTACTTTCAAATAGATCTCTAAAAAAATCAAGCTCTGCTAATTAACCAATGGTGATCTTAAATTTGTTCAACGACATTGCTGTTATTATTTCAGGAATATTATTAGCAACAGGATCGGCGGACTGTTCTATTAAAATTATGGATGTTGAAAGAATTATTGCTCGTGAAGTTAGGTGCGGTTCTTTAATTCAGAAAAGCGTAGCATTTATGAAAATTGTTAATATTATTTTAACATTGTTATATTCCTTCTTTCTATAGAAATTTTCATTATAATTCTTGTCTGTTATGCTGTTAAAATATCCATTTCCTTCTCCTATTTTATCTGCTGTTGGTGATGCACATGTTGTAGAGGTGAAGTAAGTTTAACAGAAAATGGGCCCGACGCGCAACATCCAATTATTCGAACTCTTTATGATCATATTGATGTTAGTCCTTTTAATTATCCTTGCATAAAAATGATTTTTTCGGTGTTATCACTCATATTTCTTCTTAATTAAAAATTTCAGGAATTAAAATATTTTTATTCTATAGAAAATTTCATTTCAGTTATTTGTGGAATCACATCTTTTATGTCATTTAAAATGTCCGTTTTCTTTACATATATATTTTTTTTTTAGGAAGTTAACTGCCTTGCTTTTCATCCGCGAGAACAGATCATTGTCTCTGGAGCTAATGATTTCACTGTGAAAATGTTCGATTTTTCGAAAACTGCAGTGAAACGAGCTATGAAAACCATTTTTGTAAGTTTCTATTTTATTCTACACTTTGAAACCTTCTTTTACCCCCTGTAAGTTGGCGCTACTGCGGCTATGTTAGTAGCTTAACTTAGTGATTAATGAAATTCCCAGTTAATATGTATAAAATTGTATTTTGTTTATGAATTTTGCGAAACAAAGAATAGCATATTTTAAGGAAGTGGAACCAATTCGAGCACTTTCATTCCATCCAGCTGGTGAATTTTTATTAGTAGCAACCAGCCATCCGACTCTACGTTTATACAACATCGAAACGCAACAGTGTTATGTGTGTAGTGTTCCCACTGATCAGCACCGTGATACTGTTATGGATGTTAATTTTTTTATCATTTTTATTTTAAATTCTTTTCCAGAGTGAGATGTCACTTTATCTGCATATTCTATTTGCTTAAAAAAAATTGCAATCAATTTATTTTAAAAAATATTCTGTGAAAACATGTGTAAAAATGTAATTTGTGATTTATTCTAGGTGAATTATTCAGAGAACGCCCGACTCTACGTGACGGGTTCAAAAGATGGCGATGTGAGAGTCTGGGATGGTATTTCAAATCGCTGTATTGAGACATTTCAAAGAGCCCATGATGGTGCTCAGATATGCAGTGCTACTTTTACAAGAAATGGAAAAGTAAATTTTACAAGTTTCAGTTATTCCAGTTTATTGTGTTTCTTTCCAGATCAGAGATCATTTTTTTCGTTCGGAACAAATTTCTCAGCTATTCGTTTTTTTTCCATGAGTATAGTAAGTGAATACGATTGAATATCGATCACAATCACTCATCGATCAGTCTGCATTCGAATCATGCATTGTAATTTATGGTTTTATTCCCAAGTTTTTGATTTTGGAAAGTAATAGTTACTCAAAGATTATCTGTTGGATTGCAGTATATATTAACTAGTGGCTTGGACAGTATTGTTAAACTTTGGGAATTGTCAACGAATAGATGTCTTATAGCATACACTGGAGCTGGTGCTACTGGCGTACAGGAGTATCCAATACAAGCATCTTTCAATCATAATGAAGATTATGGTTAGTATACTTTTTTGTTTTCTTATGAATTCTTTCTTAATCTACTTTCTTCCTGATCACATATACAATATATTATACTGGAATAACTGTGCTGTTATTTTCGCGAGAAATATATTACACGTTTTCTTTTTTTGCTTTCTGAATCCATTTTTATGTTTTCTTTTCCTTTTTTTCCAAGTTTTTACGTAATTTATTGCAGTGTTATTCCCGGATGAGAAATCAGGCAGTCTTTGTTCATGGGATGCTCGCAACTCGGATAGGAAAAGGCTTTTGGCACTCGGTAGTTTATTTCCTTTTAATACAATTGTAATTTGTTTAACTGCTAAAATTCTGATTCACTTTTTTTATAATTTTTATGATGTCTGTGATCATTTTCAGGGCATACAGCAGCAACGAGGACGTTCAGGCATTCCCCAACAATGCCAGCATTTATTACAGGCAGTGATGATTTTAGAGCTCGATTTTGGTACAAGAAGTTGGCATAAATTATGGTTTAAATTAATTTATTTTTGATGATTCTGAGTTTTAAATTATGATTACTATTTCTTGATCTTAAAAGCCTTTGATGCTGCATATATTCAAAAAATATCACTGAAAGGAGACTGGTGATTTTAAAACTTTATTTTCGTATACACAGAAGCTCTTGATTTGTGTTGGTTTACCGATAAGTGAAATAATAATCGATTAGTTTAAAATGGAGTGGGATAATTTCCGATACTTTTAATTGTAAGTGTAGTTCGGCCGTTAAGATTTAAAACTTTCAATTTTTTGTGGACAATTCAAGACTTTGTTTTCTACAGAGAATTTCTGCACTACTTACTTTATTTTTCAATTTAATTTAGTTAACTGTCCTTTCAGGCAGTAAAGTGAATATTAACTGACATCCCATTTTTAATCTTTGGGGCTATTTACTAGAAATATTATTTGTAATAGGTTGTAGCTTCAACTGCGATCTTTTTGATCCTTCTTTCCTTTATATTTCTAAAGTCTGAAAACTTTCACAAGTTCAATAATTTTTAGATAGTATTCTTACAAGTAATATACAATTGACTTCTGGGTATACGAGATTTTTAATTTTGCACATCTTCCCTGTTCTTTTACAGCTTTCAAGAACTTTTCTTTTACATATGTATTGAAAGTTTGTATATTTAAGTAACTTGATTGTTGTACTTACTGCTGTGCATGTGATGCTTCATATTGGTAATAAATATATGACGTTTGGTCATTTGTTTCTGAAACAATGTATCAATAGAATATATTGCATCTGATTGTTTTATGTAATCAACTGTTGGGGAAGAAATTTTATGAATTGAATTGGATCAGTTGAGCAAATAGCTCGTTATAATGATGGGTTGTTTTTTTCTTCATCTGACGTCAGTAGTACTATTTCTGTTATAATTTCTATCGTTAATACGTGAATTTTTTGATGTGGTACAATGGTGTCCTCTCGAATATGGTAGCTCATTATCTGCATTTAAATAGAGAATTATTTTTGAACTAAAATTCAATAATTATTAGAGCATATTGAATTAAATCAAACTGTTAAAGGATGATATATTTCCTA